CAGTACCATTATCTCAAACTATACTACAAAGCAGTAATCATCTAAACAATTTGGTGAGAAATAGAGAGATTAGTCAGTAGCACAGATTAAATATGAAACATTTGTTTCTCTTATACATGACAGAAGCAAACAAATACAGTAACTTAGTGTTTGATAAACCTAAAGATCCCAGCTATTGGGGCAAGAACTCACTGTTTGCCACAAATTCTTGGGACTACTGGAAAGTAGTCTGTTAGAAACTAGGTATAGGCCAACATCTCATGCCATCTATCATAATAAGCTTCAAAGGGATACATGATTTAGACATAAAATATGACATAATCAAATTAGAGGAACATAAAAGAAAATGTTGTTTGTTGTTTCGTGTTTGACTCTTCATGACCCAATCTGGGGTTTTCTTGGCAAAGATACTGGGTTGGTTTTCCATTTCCTTCTCCAACTCATTTTATAGATGAGGAAGCTCAAGCAAAGAGTGGATGAAGTGACTTGCCCAGGGTCACACAGCTAAGTGTCTGAGGCCAGATTTGAATGCAGGAGCATGAGTCTTCCTGATTTCAGGCCCAGCACTCTATCCATTACACCACCTAGTAGCCCATAAAAGAAAGTGCCTGTCAGATATGTGGATAGGAGAAGAGTTCAAGATGAAAGAGGAGATAGGTTCATAGAACATAAAATGGGTGATTTAAATTATATATAATTTAAAAGCTTGTGCAAAAACAACCAATTCATCTAAAAGTAGAAGAGAGGGAAACTAGGAAAAATTTTTGCAGCAAGTTCCTCTGATAAAGATCTTATTTCTAGGATATATAGGGAACTGAATCAAATTTACAAGAAAAAAGCTATTCCCCAATTAATAAATGGTCAAATGATATCAATAGGTAGTTCTCAACAGAAGAAATACAGGCTATCAATAGTCATATGAAAAAATACTCTAAATTACTAATAGTTAGAGAAATGTACATTTAAAAACTCAGATTAGCTAAGATGACAAAAAAAAAGGAAATTTATAAATACTGCAGGGGTGATGGGCAAACAGGTACATTAATGCACTGTTGGTAGAGCTGTGAACTAGTCCAACCATTCTGGGAAGCAATTTGGAAGTGTGCCCATAAAGCTATTAAACTGTGCTGTTGACCCAGCAATACTGCCGCTAGGTCCATACCCCAAAGAGATCAGTGAAAGCAGGGAAGGACTCATGTACAAAAGTATTTATAGCACCTTTTTTTTTTTTAGTAGTGGCAAAGAATTGGAAACTGATGGGATAAAGGAATGCTCATCAACTGAGGAATGGCTGAACAAGTTATAATATATGGGTGTGTTGGCATGCTATTGTGCTATGAGAAGTGATGAAGAGAATAATTTCAGAGAAACCTGGGAAGACTTATGTGAACTGATGCGAAGTAAAGTGAATGTAACCAGGAGAACAATTTATACAATAAGAGCAATATTGTAAAGATAAACAACTCTGAAAGGCTTAGGAACTCTAAAATTGAAGATTGAGGCTTACGTTTTTATTTTTGGCTTTTTGGATGTGGCTGAATGCAGAAGTTTCTTTTGCCTGACTATACTTGTTTATAGTGGGTGTCATTTTCCTTGTTTTCTTAATGGGTTAGGGGAGATAGGAAGGTAAGAATTTGGAGTTGGCAATAAAAACAAATGAGTTAAAGAAACTGATATTCTGCACAGAAGCCTGATAAGTAGAAATCAATTTGGTCCTCACTCACTAACAACTTTGTTTCTCCTAACCTTGCGTGGCCCCAAGACTTTTATCTTTGGGGTAATCCTAGTACTGCATCCCTTAGTTGACATCATTGCCTGTAAAATGAATAATGTACATACTACTGCTAATGAAAGTGGCTTCACAACCTCGTTTAAGGCTGTTTTTTCCTGCCCAGACATGTCTGTCTGACATGAACATAATGACCTTTGTCACATCACAATATTGCCTGAGCCTCTGCACATATTGAGGGCCCAAAAGTACATCTCACCCATCTCCATATCCTTTAACAGAGCCTAACAGTCTTCCACATAGCTGCTACTCAAATGATAGTTGACCACTGACTGGCTGGATTTCTAACAGACAAGTTCTATCTTATAGCCCCACGATGTAAACTCTGTTTAACTGTCAATTAACTCTACGGATCCCCAAAAAAGGTAGAATTAATTTTTTTCCCCTGTATTACTATATATCAATAAATCTGACTAGAGCCCTACTTTGATGCCTGCTCAAGTACTGACAGATCTTACTAAATTGGACAGACTTTGAATATGGGCCTGGTGACGGTCAACCTGTCATCAGAGAAGCAGCTTAGCTATCAGCAGCAAGGCTGACTTGATGCCTCTTAATTTATTTGGGGTCATAGGTTTCTACTATGGCCTAAAAGAGATTGCAGCAGTCCTTGAGTTATTTAAGTGAGCGTTCATCTGGATATAAAAGTATATCAAAGTCATATATGAGTTATTATCGAGCTGCTAGTATGAGATCATAGGATCTTGAGTGAGGGGGACCTTAGGCATCATCTAGTCCAATCCCTTCATTTACAAATAAAGAAATTGACCCAGAGAGGCAAGACAGTTTCCTCAAACATATATGTAATAATAGTAATAATAATTAATGTTTATAGAGCACTCTAAGATTTGCAAAGTACTTTGCATATATTATCTCATTTGATTCTCATAACAATCCTGTGAAGTAGATATTATCATAATCCCTGTTTTACAGATGAGGAAACTGAGGCAGAGAAAAATTAAGTCAGTTTCCCAGTGCCATATAGTAAGTATCTAAGGAAGGATTCTAATCCATGTCTTTCTGACTCTAAGTTTGGTATATTATGCCACACTGCTTCTTAGAATACCCTGTTCTAAATTTATGTCCTGTCAATAAATTTTTGCTGATCTTCATTGGTAGAGGGAGATTCCTACCTAACAATGAAATCGTAGGTCTAGTCCCTAATACTCAATCACTGATAAATTTTTCTGACAATTGGCTCATGTTTTAAAAATAACAATTTACATTCTTAAACATATTCTCTGTATGTGACTTAGTGATGTATGTACATACTTGTACACACACACACACACACATACACACATACATATGTACACTGTGGTTTAAGACAAATGAGAAATTTCTGTTTTTCTGGACAGCCCAGTAGAACTAAACCCATCTGATGCTCTTCATTCTTGCAAATCCGTCACCTAGTGTTTAATGAATTTATTAGCTAATTTGAACTTAATTGAAATATTGCTTTGTGATATTGTTCATCTTGATTTTAAGTATATTTTTCTACTTTCTCAGCAATAAATGCTTCTTAAAAGCAGTAATTAAGTCTTCTACTTCTTTTGGCATATCCCCTAAAGCACATAGTAGCAACAATAATAATTCATATTTATAATTCAAATTGATACACTATATATATATTTGAGGTTTATAATATGTTTTCTTGACAGCCCTGCTAGGGTTTTTCCCAGTTTACAGATGAAGACATGGAAGCTAAGAGAACTTAAGTGAAATTGCTCATAATCATGCAACAGTGTCAGCTAGGATTTGAATTCTAGAGCCAGGTTTCATAAATCCACGTGCAGTATTTTCATTCCACTACATTGCCTTTCTACATTATTGCATTACAGATAGTGGAGACTTAGTAAATCTTGACTGACTGATATAACTAATTTGAGGTGTAATTCAAAGTATTATATCAGAGAATTTCAGTTAAATTTAATTCAGCAGAGTAAGCTAAATTTAGAACACTGTGCTTGGCCTTGAAGATGCAGAAATAAAAACAGTACATCCTTCGTCCTCGAGGAGCTTCCATTCTACTGAGGAAAGGGCACAAATGAGGATAGTACAAAGAAAATTAAGGAAGGAGACTGGCCACTAACAAATGGGGGGTGGGGAAGGCTTCATGGAGGCCGTGGTGTCTAAGCTGAGATTGAATGCAATAGAAGCATTTCGAGAGGTGGAGATGACAAGAGAGTTAATTACAAACTTGTAAATGTTATGTTGAGGACTATGTGGAGATCGGATTGGAGAGGAGAAAGATCGTAAACAGTAATCCTCACCAAAGGTGTTAAATGCTTAAACGACGGTGTTGTGTGCATAGAAAGAAGAGGATAGGTCTGAGATAGTGTATTGTGTATGGGTAGGCCTGATGAGATTTGGCGAATGATTATATTGAGGGTGAGGAAGAGGGAAGAGTCAAGAATGAATGACTCCAAGATGACCAACCCAAGAGCCTGGAAGGGTGGTGTGAAGCCCACCCATGATGGAAAATAGAGAAGTTAGGAAAAGTGGATGGGGAGACAGTCTAGGAAGAAAGACAGTGAGTTCTGTTTATGACTGTTGGTGTCTGGGAGGATGGTGCTGCTCTCAACTGGAATAGAGAAACTTAGGCTGGTTTCAGGGAAGATACAGTGAGTTCTTTTTCAGGTGTGTGGAGATTGAGGTGCCGATAGAATGTAAGAAAGGTCCAACCATTAGCTGATGATGCAGGATTATGGTTTTGGAGAAAATGAGGACTATATTTGTAGATTTGGAAATCATCTACATATAGATGCTACTTAAATCCATGGAAATAGATGAGGTAACCAAAAAAGAGTGGTGTAGAGGGAAAAGATCATGCAGAAAACCAGTGTGATCCACTGCTTCTATGTCATATACCATTTGTACAACTTTATTAGGAAAAACTATTCCTTGCTACCATATTTGTGAATTTTTAAAATGCATTTTCCAAAGGCTTTCATGAACTAGGTTGTTGCCGATAAGGCAGCATTCTAGGAATTTATTTTCATTACTCCATACTTATGGCCATGCAGTGCTAAGGGTGGATTCTCTTTCTTCTTCCCTCCCCCTCCTTGGGTGTGTGTGTGTGTACACAGGCACTCCTACAGAGAGACAGGTGTAGCCCTTCTAACTGGTACTGACATTTTCTTTGACAGAGATCCCTGATCTCATGGAACAAACTTCCTTTTTTTTTTTTCCCTTTCTTCCCCTCCCCCAGCTGATAATAGGACTAAAAAGAAAGTGGCCCATCGGGAAAGGAAGCAAGATTTCTCTGCCTTCAAGCAGACAGACAGTGAGATGAAGGTTAAAATATCACCACAGCTGCTCCTGGCAATGCACCGTTTCCTAGCAACAGGCAAGTGCCTCTTATCTCAGTTTGGAATCACTTGTTTCTCACCAGCCAGGACAGGGTGGGCTGTGGGGGGGCACTGGGAAATGGGGTGACAAATAATGCCACTTTTGTGTTTTGTTTTGTTTTGTTTTTCTTTTTAAACTCTCTCCTCTCCTGTGTTCAGTGTCGGCATGAACCCTCTGAGACATTTACCAGGGGTGGACCAGTAACTTTAAATTGGTCTGAAAGGTAAGGATGAACGTTAGTGCTGCCACCCTGCATGTACAGTTCATCAGGTTAACTGCTCGCAAATAAACCCCACGGTAGAGCCTGCTTTTGTGGAGTAGGGAACCAAGTCATGAGACCTGGACATCATCTGGGTCCATTTGATATGTAGGCAGTTGACCAATTCGCCTTTATTCAGCTTGCCTGGAAAGAACTGTGGATAGCAGTGGTAAGGTAACACAGACGACCTTACCAATTTGTAAAGCAGATAGATTTTCAAAATAAAATCTTTGACTCGACTAGTTTTAATGAAAACAAGAATATCAAGTTTTTTACATGGATTTCTCGATGGCCTCTTCAAAAAAAATTGGTAAATTGAATCTATTTCCATTAATCATGTTACCCAATCCACCAATATAGCCGGCACTGACTGATGCAGAGGTCAAGGTTGAATACACCAAAAAGATCATTCTCATGCTCCCTCAGTGGCCCCTTAGGGGAAGAGTGAGCTTTGTCTATCTAGCAAGAGGATTGGGAGGAAATCTGGAACTGCCCAGCGACTCCTTCGAAGACTACATCTACGCCGCCCCTGTCAGTAACACACAGTGTGCTGGAAAATATTATGAAAAGAAGAAAAATGGGATTCACAATTTTTGTGTTTGAAATTTCCATACATATTCTTTTGATTTAAGAAAAGAACAAACATCAAGCTTAACTCATTATCAGTCTGCATTTTTAAAATTCTGATAATATTGTTGTCTGCCATCTAGGAACCATTATTCAAAACTAAAGTAAATAAAGCTGGTCATTATCTGGCTTTTAGGTTGTTCTGTAGGCCTGGTCAAATGCAGCCCTGAGAAGTTAGTAATTGGTATTCTTAACATTTATAATGAAACCACATTTTCCCCAAGTGTAATAACAACTGTGATTTAAAAGAAATCATAAGTTGAATGCATATTAGACTGTGATTATGTCTTCTCTTATTTGTGAATCTCTAAACCTCTACACTTTTATTTCTAATAATGTCAAAAGAAGGAAGAATTGTGAAAATGAGATTCTGACAGCATCTTGTGCTTATGTGGGCCTGTGAGAGAGAGTGAGGGAGAAAGAGAGGTGAAGAGATGTGGGAAGGAAGGAAAAGGAAAAGGGGAGAGAGAAGAGGAAAAAAAGGAGGAAGAAGAACATGAAGGAAAGAGAGGAAAGGGAGAGAGAAGAGGGAAAGAAGGGGACAGGTGAAGGAGAAAGAGAGATGGAAAAAGAGAGAGACAAAGATACACTGAAAGAGACAGAGACTAATTCTATATTTTTAGGTACCTCCGGCCCTTGGACTTATGTTCTTCTGGGTCATTGTCAGACAAGCTGTGTTATGGCTCAGAGAAAGACATGCTAGGAATCAGGGAGTCTGTTTCTGGTTGATAATCTTTTTCTCTAAATGGGAAGTCAGATGCCTTTCGTGAAAATGAAAATTAACTAATGAATCAGGGTGGTAAAAAGGAATGAAAATGAAACAAAAGAGAATTCAGTTTTTTCTGATTCTCCTAGGACCTAGGTGATCGAGCCCCTAGTGGATCAACAAGCAGAAGTTTCATTGATATATTAATGCTTCATTTTGCATCCGTGATCTCTTTTTACTCACTTTAATGTTAATTTATACTATTCCTTGCCACATATTCAAAATGTAATATCAAGTTGTGTTTATATCTGTAGAAGTAGAAGCATTTAGCCCATCCCAGATGTCAGAGAAGATCCTTCTAAGGCTGCTAAAGCATCCCAATGTCATCCAGGAGCTGAAGTACGATGAGAAGAACAAGAAAGCCCCAGAATACTACCTCTACCAGCGAAACAAACCTGTAGACTACTTCGTTCTCATTTTGCAGGTCAGAAGAATTATTTAATAGTAATTTCTCTTTTGGTACCCTTCTTTCCTTCCATCTGATCAGGCTTTTTAAACATTCTTATACTAGATGGACAAGAGCCAAAGTTCTCATGTCCTGCTTCATATGATCTTAGCTATGGAAAGCTCTAAGTGGTATCCATGTTTTCATTTCTGTATTCCTATCTGCAAATAGCCTTACTAAAAAAGTAATGTCAGTGATCATTTTTATATCTTTGACTAGAAGGCTCTTAGTAATTATAGAAAGTATTGAGGCAAATAAAGAATATTTAGAGTGGTTGAACTTGTTGAAGAGTTTCAGAAGGTGAACTCAACTGATGCAAACCCATAGTTTGACAGAATGACTAAAGGTTAATTGGTATGCATCTCTTAGTAACTTTTGCCCAAACAATGGGAGTTTGGTTTTCCTGGGTTCCAAAGAGATTCTGTTCCCTTTTTTCTTGTTTCTATCATCTATCTGTTATTCCAGATTTTTCCTTGGTGATTCCTAGATACTGACCAACCTCTGCCTTCCTTCACTTTGGAGATAAAATGACATTATGCTAGTCTCACTGACATGCCCTGCTCTAGTACTATGAAATTTGGTCTAAAGTGGGAAGGTGGATCCACCTGGGCCTATGTTTGCTGAGATGGTGTTCTGGTATACAGAACAACCTAGTGGCAGAATAGACACTTAGCCCAGAGCAGCATTTGAGTGAATATTTTGGATAAATTACCCTTTGAATCTGCCTTGTTCACCCAGTTGATTTGGGCTGTTTTTGCAACATTTCTGAGATTTTCCAAGTTTTCTGTGCAGCTTCATTGTCTGAATGTGGTTTTCTAATTTCTGAGCACTGGTTTGTTGCATTCTAGAACAGAGCTGGAGAAAGTAGACTGAGGAAAGGGCATTAAATTCAGGGACCAAAATTATCTTTCATAAGCAGGGATGGTTTCTTTGAAAATAACTCTTAAATAAGCTTTTTCTTCTGGTTAGGAAAATGAGAAAGAATTTCATCCATGTGTCACCCTCTGGATGAGCAAGTAATGAATGATTCTAAAAAATGCTATGCATTAAAGAGTTGCTTGTAAGTTTCATAAAGCTTTTCTGTGACGCCTCTGTTTGATGGCGCTCTAACTCAGCAGTTTGATAGCTACTCCAATTATAGGCCTGGTTCACCCTTGAATTCAAAATGTATTTTTTTTCCTTTGGAGATAGAGAAGTTTCAAACTCTGACAACCTTTGGGAATTCTGTTATGTTAACCACGGAGAGGGAGCAAAGCAAACATTAATTTGTCAGGTAGGGTAATGGGTGACACTCTGAAATAGAGACAAAATATGAATGATAGTGAAAGCCATTTACTGTTTAGAAAGAGGCTTTGTGAATCTCTGTAGTAATATTGTAAACAGCATAGCTATTCATTCTTTTTCTCTCCTCTACACATAATTAGGATTTCATTTTCATAAGTGCTGTTTTATTACCTAATCTAATATGGAACTACAGGTATGTCCTGAGTGTAATCCATATTGACATTGCTTTGTTGATTTTTTTTTGGGGGGGGGAGTCTGGATTTGTTATTTTTATTTTTATTTTTAAATTAAATTTGATTTTTTAATTCTAACTTAAAAACCAAAAAAGGACCGTTTCCATATGTACATTAGAACACAAGATAATTGTGTGCAACACTGTGAACCTCCATGCCATACAACTTGCTTTAAATAAAAAGTATATCATAATGCCACAGGTTACTTCAAAAACTAACCTGTTTGTGCTTCCTTTTTCTCCTTTCTGTGAATTTTAAAAATGTCTCAGTAGCCCTTTTGGCACCATCAACCCTTCCATCCCCTCTCCAATTAAAAACTGAGAGAGAGAAAAAAACCACACCTCTTGTAACAAATAACCACAGCCAAAGAAAACCAGACTACACAATGATTGTGTGCAAAAATGTGTATCTGTGCCTTGAGTCCATTAACTCTGTCAGGAGGTCGGTAACATGCTTCATCATATGTCTCCTGGAGACAAGATGTTTCATTGCATTGATAAGAGTTCTTAAGTCTTCTAAAGTTTTTTTTAATTACAGTGTTGTTATCCCTGTATAAATTGTTTTCCTAGTTCTGCACACTTCATTCTATATTAGTTTATCATCACCCATGATTCTTTGCAATCATCTCTTTTGTCATTTCTTATGGCACAATAACATTCTATTATATTCAAGTTGTTGCGCTTTCCTCAGTTGATGGGTACTCAGTTAGATTCTAGTTCTTTGCTTTTTACCCTGCTTCAGGATCAGGTAGTTAGTTTTCCTTATCACCGTCCTTCTTATCTCTGCCTCCCATCCCTGTTTGTTTCCCTGTTGAGTTTGATGTCTTTCTGCACCAAACTGTATGTGTCTGATTCAGGTAAGAGTGAGGTTCATCTGATAACCTATTCTCTTCACCCCTTCATCCATGTTTGTATACCCTTCTATATACTCCAATTGTTAGAAATAGTAAGTTTCACCCTCTTTTCCCCCGTTCTGCACAAGTGTATTCATTTTACCCTCTCTTTTCCCCCTCTTAAAACCTCAGAACGGAATCAATTCATCCCCAGTAGCCTCTGATTTTCAAATTTAGGGAACTTGGTGTGGAAATTTCCTCCACCAGTACAGCTTCACAACTTCTCTGTAACTGATTGGATCAGTCACTTACTTGCCTGTGGTCTCAGAGATAATATGTAGCAGAGATAGGATCTGAACTTACGTCTTCCTGGCTCCAAGACCAGCCCTCTATCCACCACACCATGATACTCCTTTGTTTTGTTGATGTACATGTGAAATTCTTACATTGTAGTCATGTTTTCTTTTCTTTTATCTTTTTGAATATTTTATTCTTCACAATTACAGGTAAAACAATTTTTAATATGCATTTAAAAAAAAATTTTAGTTCCAAATTCCCTCCCTCCCTGAGACAGTAAATAAGCAATTTGATAAAGATTATACATGTGAAATCATGCAAAATATATTTCCACATTAGTCATGTTGTGAAAGAAAACACAGACAAGAAAGAAAGAAAGGAAAAAAGAGAAAAATAAGGGCAGCTAGGTGGTGCAAAGGATAGAGCACCGGCCCTGTAGTCAGGAGGACCTGAGTTCAAATTGGGCCTCAGACACTTGACACATACTAGCTGAGTGACCCTGGACAAGTCACTTAACCCCATTGCCTAGCCAAAAAGAAAGAGAGAGAGAGAGAGAGAGAGAGAGAGAGAGAGAGAGAGAGAGAGAGAGAGAGAGAGAGAGAGAGAGAGAGAGAGAGAGAGAGAGAGAGAAATAGTATGCTTTTATCTGCATTCAGACCATCAGTTCTTTTTTTGGAGGTGGATAGCATTTTTCATCATGAGTCCTTTGGAATTGCCTTAGATCATTGTATGGCTGAGAATAGCTAAGTCATTCACAGTTGATCTTCATACAATATTGCTGTTAGTTTGTATAGTGTCCTCCTGGTTCTGTTCATTTCACTTTGCATCAGGTTCGTGTAAGTCCAGGTTTTTCTGAAACTGTCCTGCTTGTCATTTCTTACAGCACAGTAGTATTCCATTACAATCATATACCACAACTTGTTCAGCCATTCCCCAATTGATGGACATCCCCTCAATTTCTAGTCCTTTGCCACCACAGAAAGAGCTGCTATAAATATTTTTGTACAAATAGTTCCTTTTCCCTTTTTAAAAAAATTGCTTTGGGATACAGACCTAGTAGTGGTATTACTGGATCAATTTTACAGCTCTGTGAACATTGTTCCAAATTGCTCTCCAGAATGTTTGGACCAGTTCACAATATAGTAGCCATGTTTTCAAATCTCTTTCCATTTAGCAGTTTGTCTGATTAATAAATATATTATCTTTTTAGTAAGATATTTTAAGTATTCCTAACAAATTTGCTATTTTTCGTATTCATGTTGACAATGCTGTGGGGTTTTATTAGGTGGGTATGTTTTTGGTTAAGAGTGCTTCCTGGCAGTGAGTGCTAAGCTTGTGCTGGCTATAAAATGATAAAATTGGGTGATCTTAGCTCTTTTAGGACAGCCAACTGCTTGAAGCATCTGTAAAGTACTAGAAATTACTTTCTAGAGATGTAACCAAGATGGCAGAATAGAAGGAAATAGTACAGTGAGCTCCCCCCCCAAAAAAAATACAACAAACTAGCTCCTCCAAACAGATATAGACAACACATCAGACCAAATCCTGATGGAGAAATCCAAGACGAAGTTATAGTGAGTCATTTTTCCAGCCTAGATCAGAATAGAGAGACAGAGTGGTCTATGCACACTAGAAATGGAGACTGGCTGGAAGTACCATATGAGGAGCCTATTTACCTGAAAAAAACAGAGATCCCTGAACCTTCCCAGGGCATCTCTGACCCATACCAGGTCATTTCGACAGGGATTACTGCCAACTGGTTGCCCATTACCCATTTCCAAATCATATGGACTGGAGGTAGCATTCCTAGCTAGGGAAGCCAAAGGTGGTGTATCAGGAAAAAAGCAGGTTCAGAAACGAGCAGAAGCTGTGGGGCTCTGAAGCCAGTGGAGATGAATAACCAGGGCAAGAGTCCCAGACTAAAGGGGTGCCTGCAGTTGTGTCTCTCTGACCCAGCAGAACTTCCCAGCTGGCTGACGTTGGTTTAGTTCAGCAGCTATCTACCATTTCTCAGACCGAAACCCAGGTCAGGAATTTGTAGAGCTCATACAACAGGGGTAGCAGTCAGACTTTGCCTTGGATTAGTGCCGGGTACATAATAACCACTATATAAATGTTAGCTATTATTATTATTATCAGTATTATTGAAAGCTTGTAAGTCCCCAGCCTGAACTGTCTCTGAGATCTTGGAAAAACACAATATTCAACACCCCAAGAATGTAGGATCAGGACCAGCCCAGAACATCCCTCCAGAAGTGCACAGAACCCTGCACTAACATCAAGTCAGAAGTCAGGAAGTAAACTGGAAGAGCAAACAAAAAAACAAAAAACAA